TAGTAATGTGAATGTGTCCACCCTCTGCATATGTGCTTTGTATAGTAACGTGAATGTGTTCACCCACTGCATATATACTGCATATAGTAAACTATGGCAAGACACATGTAAATAAAACCCCAATTTATCTCGAGTGCTCAGAGTATACACGCAGAAGCCAAACCTTTAATTCACTCCCTAAAGATCTGAGTGTGTGTTGGGGGTCTGGCACTGCTAAATGCTGGGAATAGAAGCCAGACGGAGAGACACTTCCTGTCTTCTAGGAGCCCAGCACCTGGTACGAGGTGCTTGGAGAGCAGAGGTAAGATCTGTGTGTAGGAAGAAGGGCAGGGCAGAGTTGTTCTGGGAAGGGCTTGGAGATGTGACCCTAATGCCCTGATGGATGAGTAGGTTCATGTTCGTTATCTGCCTTAGTTCAGAGAAGACCGAAGCAGCTCAGAGGACAAGCAGAGGTTCAGAGAAGTGTGTGCACAGGTGGGGAACGTGTGTTCTAGGTTGTGAAAACAAACCGTGCCGGAAAGAACATGGGTGTTCCTGGAGCAGCAGGCAGACGTCAGGGGCTGAGCACAGGGGTGTTGGGAGGTTAAGGTGATGAGGGTGGAGGTGAAGCAGGACCTGCAACCCCAAGCTTAGCCTGGCAGGAAAATGGTGTCTTTCAAAGTGTAAGCAAGGGGTGGCTTAAGTAGATTTGTTTAGAAAGATCACTTTGGAAGAAACATAGTATGGGAATTGCACACTTGAGCAGGGTGTATTTGTGTTACACCCCATGTTCACGGCAGGCTTATGCACAGTAATCAAAGGTAGAAACAGCTCAGCTCTCCATTGATGGGTGAATGGAAAAAGTAAATGCAGTGTGGACTACAATGGAATTATTCTTCAGCCATGAAAAGGAATGAGGTCATGGTATATGTTACAATGTGGATGAACCTTGAAACCCTTATACTAAGTGAAATAAGCCAGACACAGAGGGACAAATACATGATCCTACTTATGTGAGGTACCTAGAGTAGACAGATTCATAGAGCCAGAGTAGGATGGTGATCACCATGGGCTGAGGAAGGGGGAAATGGGGAGCCAGTGTTTAATGGGTACAGAGTTTCTGTTGGGGATGACAAAAAAGTTCTGAAGACAGACAGTGGCGATGGTTGTGCAACATTGTGAATAGATTTAATACCACTGAATTGTGCCATTAAAAATGGTTAGAAACAACTTTTATATTGTATATAGCTTAACACGTTAAGAAAATAAACCAAAATTACCTTGAGGAAGGGTCTACATTTAGGAGACTATTGCAGGAGTCCAGGTGTAGACAATGAAGTCCAATGCAGTGACGTTAGAAAGGAAGGAATAAATGGGCGAGGAATTTAGGAAGAGCAAATGCGAACATACCCTGCACTGCACTGCGTCCCTACCATGCTTAGCATGGTACAGTCGCCTGCACGCCCGCGCCCCCAGCCTTTTGCAGTGGGAAGTGAGGGTGGTGTGGAGGCCAACACCTGGCATTCTGACTTAGGTAGACAGCAGTTTTACTAGAATTGTGATTCAGGGAGAGACATAAGTTTGGGAGGGAAGATGGGGTTCTGTTTTGAGTAACCTGAGTTGGAGGCGCCCTGGCATATTCTGATGGAGATGTCCAGGGCACAGTTACAAAGATGGCGCTGGAATGAAATGGAAAGAAAGAGGGCCAAGGACAGAGCCCTGAATGCCCTCTCTACTTAGAAAGTGGCGTAAAAAGCCAGAGGAGCATGCAGAGAGAAACCAGGGCAGGAGAGTTCAGCTGTATAATCCTTCGTTCTCTGTTGGCTTTTTGGTTACTCTACAGATTCACACTTCTCCCTTGGGATATTCCTTTTCCAAGCCAGGCTGTTGTTGGGAGGGCACAGACGTCCTGGAATGCCAAGGTTGAGGATGGTGAAATGGGCCTAGGGAAGGGTGTTCCTCTCTAAGTTGGACTGTGTATCGGGAAGTTGTAGACCTTTAGTCTTCTAACCATTTCTGCTTTGTTGATTCCACTGTCCGTTTATTGCATCTTTGCTCATGTTCTGCATATGAAGCAAAATTGAGAGCTTTGACCAGCATCAAGGTCAGGATGAAAGACATCGGTAAGACCTTACAGTCCCATGGATACCATCAATTAAAATGCCTGTGCATTTATGTTTTCCAAGGTCAAAACTTTTTTTTTTTCCACAAATTTTATTTCTTTGATCAGCGATTTAGAAGATTTTTGGGTTTGGGACTCACAACCCATCGTTTTATACAGTATTTTTGAAAGCATCCGGGAGGAAGGGACAGTGCCTGTTTGAGGATTTAACTGAAACATGTTTGGTTCCTTGGCTGTAGTGCTGAGATCTGTCATGGTGAAGAGAGATTTGTGCGGTAGTACCGTTCCGGCACTGTGGAAGGAGGGGTGCCGGGAAAACATGGACAGATGAACGGCTTCTTCATTTTAGCTTGGGGAGCACTATTCTCAACAAGAGTTACTTAAAAAAAAAAAATGTTTAGGTTTCCAGGTCCTCCAGCCAAGCCCAGCTGAATGCTTTTCAGGCAGAGGCAGGATAGCTGTGACCTCCTCAGCTTCCTGCCTGCTCTGAGCTCCCTTCGTGTTGCTGAATGGGCAGCAACAACAGGTAGATATCAACCTCTTTTTTCACATTCCTCGTAAAACTGACTGAATCATAATCGTCTTCAGGTTTGGGAGATATTAAATATCCCTTCCAGGGTGATAGAGATATTCTGATACTAGATTGTGGTGATGGTTGCACAAGTTGGCAAATTTACTAAAAATCACTGATTGTACACTGAAAACGGGTGAATCTTATTGTCTGTAAGTTATACCACAATCAAGTGGTATAGAAAAACATGCCCTCCAGTCCTGAGAACAGTATGTTTTTCTAGCCTGGTGGTGCTTTTGGGGGAGCCAGAAGCCCTGCTCTGAGTCCTTTGGCTTCCTGGCCGAGCCCTCCAGAGGTCCTGAAGTCAGGAACTTGGTACAGCTTGTGGCTCTCACCTGGCTCTCCTCCCCTTGCTCCCCTGCCCTTGCTCTCCCAGGTGCTCGGCACCTAGCGTGGTTGGAATATTTACCAGGAATGAGAAAAGCCCATTTTGGTTTCTGGCCAGAGGATAGCTCTCCAGGATCCAGAGCCCAATATCCAGTTTGTGGCTTATTCGGATCCCATGACTCTTCCCGCCCCGTTGCTATTTGGTCAGTTTCATTGCTCTGTTGACACCCAGTTTGCAGGGTGTGTTAGGCCGTTGTTGTGTTGTTATAAAGAAATACCTGAGATGGGTAATTTATAAAGAATAGCAGTTTAATTGGCTCATGGTTCTGCAGGCTGTACAGGAAGCATGGTGCCACCATCTGCTTCTGATGAGGCCTCAGGAAGCTTCCAATCATGGCGGAAGATGATGAGGAACTACCATGTCACCTGGCGAGAGCAAGAGGGTGAGGTCCCAGGCTTTTAAACAGCCAGATGTGAACTGAGCAAGAACTCACTTATCACCAAGGATGGCGCTAAACTGCTCATCAGGGATCCACTCCCATGATTCATTCACCTCCTACCGGGCCCCACCTCCAGCATTGGGAAACACATTTTAACATGAGATTTGGAGGGGCAGACATCCAAACCATTTCACAGGGCAAGCGGGGAATTTTGGGGAAACTTCATTTGAAGTAGGAGAGGAGGTTGCACCTGTGGTTAAAGAATGATTTCAGTTGTCTATGCTGTCTAACTTTTTACCCTCTTTCTACTGCTTTCTTCCTAAAAGTATCTAGGTGATTGGAAATCAGGTGACACACTTTCCCTGCCCTCGTCCCAAATGCCTTTTATGCATTGGATTGTAGTGGTAGAAGGCAAGGTTGTTTCAGTATTTGATTGTTTGTGATCTTCTCTTCAAGAGTAGTAGCCTCCATGATGGCGAAGGTCTTGTCTGCCCCCACTGCCGTGTGCCAGCTCTTGTCACATACCAGTTTGCTAATACACTCATTTGCTGTTGCCAACAGGGATGGAAGCTTGCTGTGAGCGGTGGGTTGAGTTGCCCTGAGGAAGGAAGGTCAGAGCACTGGAGCTATTGTGGGCATGTTACTATGTCATCCTGCAGCAATACTTATGAAATACCTGCTGTTCTCACACTGTGGCTTGAGATGCTCTGGGGCTTCTGGTTGGATGTCTTCTGAAATACAGGGTTGCTTAATTAAAGCCCTTTAACAAAGTCTTTATGTCCATGGTGTTTAGCACAGGTTGAGTATCTCTTCTGAAATGCTTGGGATCAGATGTGTTTTGGATTTCATATTTTTTTCAGATTTTAGAATATTTGCACTATACCTACCAGTTGAGCATCCCTAATTTGAAAATCTGCAATCAGAAATGCCCCATTGTTTCCTTTGAGTGTCATGTTGATGCTCAGAAACATTCAGATTTTGGAATATTTCCAATTTGGGATTTACAACCTGTATCTATATCAAATATTTATTTAAGTTGAACAGAGTACATTGGCTTTTCCTTGCCCCAGTGAGTGGTATTTCTCAAGGTGGTATATTTAATGTGTGCCCGAACTGGTCTGAGGGGGTGAGACGTGCCTGATCTGCTGGCTGTGCCCTGGTGAGTTGGAGTCTGTGGTGCTTGGCTGCAGACAGAGAGCTGTCCAGGATTTGTGAGAGGGCTGACGGTGTCCTTTGGTGGCATTCCCATAAGGATGGTGATATGGTTTGGCTGTGTTCCCACCCAAATCTCATACTGAGTTGTAGCTCCCATATTCCCCACGAGTTGTGGGAAGGACATGGTGGGAGGTAATTGAATCATGGAGGTCGTTACCTCGATGCTTTTCTTGTGATACTGAGTTCTCATTGGATCTGATGGTTTTGTAAGGGGCTTTGCTCCCCCTTCGCTGTGCACTTCTCCTTGTTGCTGCCGTGTGAAGAAGGATGTGTTTGCTTCCCCTTCCACCATGATCATAAGTTCCTTGAGTCCTCCCCAGCCATACTGAACTATGAGTCAATTAAACCTCTTTCCTTATAAATTACCCAGTCTCAGATATGTCTTTATTAGCAGCGTGAGAATGGACTAATACAGATGGCTTCCCTGGAGTTAGACTTGTGGAAGCCACAGTTGGCAAGAGGGTCACAGCAGTAACACTTTCTAATATCCCTTAGGGAACACTTCAGATTTTAGGTTTCAGTCCTTGGAGCAAGCCAAAGAATATGTATCCTAGAGCCAGCAGGCCAATGAGTCCTATGCCTGTAGCAAACTAGACAGACAAGTGCTTTAGAAAACCAAGGGGTGGGTAAAGCCCAGCTCAGAACCTGAGACTGCCACTTGGCCCCAGCAGGGACCGGAAGGTGGCCTGGGCCGTTTGGCCATCAGGTCTTAGGCCACGGTAGATGTGGAATGGAGCCGGTAGGCCCCTCTGGCTCTACACTGGCTAATCTTATTGGTGCTGAATTGAGTAAAGATTAATAAGTCTTCTGTAGAAAAAAAAAAAAATGTGGTAGGTTGCTGGCTTGGAGCCCAGAGCAGTTGGAATTTTGGAGCCCAAAGAGATCATGGCAGTTGGTTTTTGGCAACTGGTTTTTGGGAGAAAAGAAACCACAGTTTTGGCTATAGTTCTATATGCCCTGGACAAGGTAGGGTCACCCCTAGAGCCAGAGATGCATAAGTGGGGAGAAGTTGTGGGCTGTCAACTTTCAAGACCCTGCCTGAGTGTAGCTTGGGGAATTTGCAGTATTCCTTGAGCAGAAGAAAGTAAGCTTGTGACTCACTTTCTCTGAATGTTTCATTTCCAACCAAATGCATCTCCTTCCCGTGGAGGTGGTGTGGTGAGGGATGTAGCTGGGGGAGTGATCTCAGAGGTCAGTGGCCATCAGCAGAGGGAGAGGTTTGACTTGGAGAAGCATTTGATCCACTGATTAATTGTGCCTTAAGTCTCATCCTCTTTTAAGCTAATTTCAAGGGAAAACACATTCCACTGAGCTGGTTTAGGGTCGGTTGTCTAGATTTATTTCTGCTTTGGAAAGAACAAGAGATTTTCTCCATGAAAACAGGAAGAAAACTATGGCCTTGGAGCTGGCTAGCCCTGGTTCCCCATTCCTTTCTGTGCTTGGGTTTGAGCATGCACAGCTACCTTACTGGAGAATAAAGACCCTCCTGTGCTCACCATGCTGCGCCCTGGTGCATACACTTGAACCTGGTTTTCTTCCTTCCCGAGCCATTTGCATCTCTAAGAAGCCTGTGGGGCATGAGCCTTCCCTTCAGCCAGTCTAATTCTTGGAAGCTTCAACATCACAATACCAGTGACTTAGTGTCTGAAAAGGTAAGGATCATCCTGGAATGTGAACGGAAAACAGCAGTCCTGTTCACAATCAGGAGCCATTCAGACATGCCTTAGGGAACTCAACTTTGGCTGCTTCCTGGTCCTTCTTATACCCCCTAAATTGTAACAAGTTAGTAACAAATTAATCATCATGCAAATGCCCTTTCTCCTTTTGTGTAGTTCTGTGACATTAGATGTTATGGCCCAGGTGAGCCTTCTGTTTATCTTTTCCCTTCTTTCTTGGCGTCTGCCCGCATCTGTACTACGTGCAAGCATGAACCTGAATTCCTCTACCTAGCCAGACCCAAACACAAAGGGGTAGGCAGACCTGGACTTAATTCCAGAGCAAGTGAGGAGTGTTGAAGGGGAGGCACGCACCCAGGTGGGAGGGAACACAGAGGAAAAGGTGATTGGTTGCCTGGGGCTGGGGTGGGCGGGGTCACTTTAGTGAAGTCCGGAATGCGAGCTGCAGTCTCCAGCGCAGGAGGGGCATTGCAGGCAAAGGTGCGGAGGCGGCGGAGGTGAGGAACGCCTAAGAGCGTGGTGCATACCGGGAACCTGAGAGAATGGGTTGCATCTATTAATAGTAGTGAGAGAGGTTGGCGTTTTGAGCCTTGCTGAGGGTTTGAATTGTTTCCTAGTGTCAGCGGAGGCAGCAACGGGTCACGTTGGCTCCTACGAAAGACCCTTCTGGCACTCCTGGAGTATGTTTTGGAGCAAGTTTAGATTAAGGGGCAATTGGCCGTGCGCGGTGGCTCACACCTGTATCCCAGCACTTTGGGAGGCCGAAGTGGGTGCATCAGTTGAGGCCAAGAGTTCGAGACCAGCCTGGCCAACATGGTGAAATCCCATCTCTACTAAAAATATGAAAATTATCCAGGTGTGGTCGCACACGCCTAGTAATCCCAGCTACTAGGGAGGCTGAGACAGGAGAATCACTTGAACCCTGGAGGCAGAGGTTGCAGTGAGCTGAGATCACGCCATTACACTCCAGCCTGGGCAACAGAGCGCACACACACACAAAGATTAAGGGGCAGCTGCGCTAGTCCCAGCTGGTGTCAATCAAGGAAAATGACCAACATAAGTCTCAAGTCTCAGTCTTTTTAAGAGGTTGATTTGCCAAAGTTAAGGATGCATGCCCAGGAGACGGGTCTATGCCTTTCTCCGGAGATGATTTTGAGAGCTTCAGTATTTAAGGGAGAAAGTGGGATACTGAGAAATACGCAGTTTTCATGTTGCGGGAAGGGAAAAATAGTCATCGATGCCTTTGACTCTGAATCTGCATTTTTACATGAGATAACGTAGATAGTAGAGCAGAGGAAACAGATATGCATTTGTCACAGGTAGGCAGAGGGGTGACTTTGAGTTCTGTCTTATGTCCCCGCACCTGTGAAGATAAGCTGTCAACTCACATTGCCATGGTGAATTTTGACAGAAATGCTTTAGGGTAAAGATCTTGGCACCCACAAGGAATTTCCCTGTGGGCAAAATGTGAGGGAGTCGTCTTTGTAGTCATCTTATTCAGGAACCAGAATGGAAGGTGGGTTTGCATGACACTTCCCAGCTCGGGCTTTCCCTTTGGCTTAGTGAGTTTGGGGCCCCGAGATTTATTTTCCTTTCACACTAGGAATCTCAGGGCTTCCACCAGGATCATGGTAGGGAGATGAACATTGTAAAGTTAGAATCAACAGGTTGGGTTGAGGAGTGGAGAACAGAGAAGGGTCTGAGATGACCCCAGATTTCCATTTGGTGGGTGGCGGGTTTGACTCCATGTGTGGTGGGTAGACTTCCTTGGTGGGAGGCACCTGTGGATGGCTAAGTGGAGATGTTTAGTAGCTTTGGATCTCCAGAGCAAGGTCAGAATGATAAAAATCAAGGGCCATCCAATTTTACGAGAGCGGCAGATGAAAGAATTGCAGCTGAGAGACTGGAGGCCGATGAGGAGAGTGGGCAGAAGCAGGAGGCAGAGCACAGCCAGGGGAGGGCGGGTTCCAGGAAGCGCTGCAGCCAGGGAGCTAGCCAGATAGGACTGGAATGCATCTGAGCCTGCCTGGCTTGAAAGCCACCGTCACCGTCAGTAGAGTGTTGGAGACAGAGGCCAGATTGGAGAGGGAGTGAAAAGATGACCGGAAGAGGGTTATTAGGAGGGTGGGGTTGGGGTGGAAGAACCAGTGGGGGTATTGTAGAAGGCAGTATTGGGGCCCCACCTGTGTGTGGAGATGACAGGGCAGGTACGGCCACGTCAGTCCTCACTGTGGGGACTTGCAGAAAATATGCTTTTGTCCCACCCCCATTCTACTCCTGAGGCTGGCGTTTCACGTGTGCAGTTCTCCCTCTCACTGGGCAGTCTCCTCGTCGCCGCCCAGCAAGTATCCATTGAGTCCTGTGTCCTCCTGCCTCAGACGAAGAAATGTTGCCTTGTCTGACACCTGGGCTTGTGGCAGCTTCGTGGCTTTCTCGTGCAGATGTTAGCCATATAGGTAACTTGGAATCAGAAATATTATGGATCCTCCTCGTCTCTGGGGAAGTGGGCTGGGCCTGTTCCATAGCATTTGCTGACACTGATACCGCAGTTCTTTTCTCGAAACCAGTTTCTTTTTATAGGGGACAGTTACACTGAAAGTGTTTGGCTGTTGAAACAAAGCTGCCTCCAGGTCCTGGCTTCTGACAGGCTCTCTTCTCCTGCTGGCAAAAACAGGTCCTGAGCTGGGTGTAGGGCCTGCTGGGCAGAGCCTGTGTGAGCCATGTCCAGGGCCGGTTGTGGTCATGGAAAAAGGGCAGGTCTCCAGGGGAGCCCCTACCCCGCTGGGCAGAAGCCATCTGGACTCCCCTTGAAGGGTTCCCAATCTCTGTGATTCCCAGCCTGGTGACACTGCCTGAAAGCACACAGTTCATTTTCATTTGATACGACTTCTGTCTCATATCCTAACTCAGTTCTGCCTGGAGAAGTTCGTATACCTAGCCGTTTGTTCATCAAGTGGCCCTCACTGTGCACCACCTGTTGTGGTCCAGGGACTGTTCCAGGTGCAAGGACACAACAGTGAACAAAATGGCAAAAATCCTCACCCTTCCAGAATTTACATTGTAGCAGAAAGATAGATTGTAAGTAAATAACATTTAGAGGCTGGGTGTGGTGGCTTACACCTGTAATCCCAGTGGCAGGCCGAGGCAAAAGGATTGCTTGAAGTCTAGGAGTTCGAGACTAGCCTGGGCAACATAGTGAGACCCCATCTCTACAAATAAAAAACAATTAGCTATGCTTGGTGGTGTGCACTGAGCTATGATTATGCCACTGCACTCCAGGCTGGGTGACAGAGTGAGCCTGTCTCAAAAAAAAAACAAAAACAAAAACAAAACAAAAAACCCCACAAAAAACAAAAACATTTGGAGTGTGTCAAATTGTGGTAAGTGCTTTGGAGAAAACCAGGGAAAGAGGATGAGCAGGTTTAAACAGTGTGGCCAGGGAAGTCCACATTGAGAAGCTGGCGTTTGAATATATGTGTCAGCTGCATTAGTAGAAGGTTCGTGGCCTGGAAGTCAGAGCTTGTTTTCTCTGTTCACTGCTGTTATTTCTGGAGCATAGAAGAGTGCTCGGCCCATAATAGATGCTCAGTAATATTTTTTGAGTGAATGGATCGGAGGGAAGAGCATTTTTAGACAAAAGGAGCTGCAGATGCGAAGGCTGAGGTGAGAGGGTATCTGGTAGGTGGGGAACATGGGGAGGCCATTGCGGCCGGTGGGGATGGGAGAGGCTGGTAGCAGGAAAGGAGGCAACAGAGGGAAGGCATGTGTATGGGCGCAGGTCTCATGGGGGCTCCATGAGGTCAGAACTGTTTTTGTAATAATACTGAGTGCTATTATGTGCATTTCCCACCCTTGTTTGCCCAGGTGTGTACAGTGGGCTTTTCTAGAGGCTACGCGATATGTGCTGCTGCTGCAGACAGAGCAGGTGGGAGAATCTGGCTGCCAGACATTAAAGAGATTTGCAGAAATGTAGAATGCTGTCACTCATCTCACTAAATTTCTGTCTTGGAAAGTAATTTTTTTTCATAAGGTATGTTAATTGTTATTTTAAAGTGAATTAATGTTGACATTTTGTCTCAGGTTTAATTTTACATATAGTAAATATTGATAGCTCTTTGGGTCCTCAATAATTTTTTTTTCAGAGACAGTCTCGCTCTGTCCCCCAGGCTAGAGTGCAGTAGCATGATCATAATTCCCTGCAGTCTCGAACTCTGGTCCTCCGTAGCTCTGAAGTGTGTAAAGGAGTCCTGAGACCAAAATGTTTATGACACGTTTATAGGGCCTTGTAGGCCACTATTTTATATTTGCTTTTATGCTGGCTGAGATGGGAAGTCATGGCTGAATCGGCTGAGGAAATTTAGTGAAGACAGTTTACCAACTTCTGATTTGTCCTTGAGGACAAAGCAGGTGTATGTGGGCGGGTGGCAGGCTGTGGACGGGCACCTCAGCAGGAGAAGGCTCTGGAGTCACTGTGTGCTCATGCTCCACTCCCTTCTCATAGCTGGGCTTACTTCTGCCAGGGGAGATAGAGGGAAGGGACATGCTTTGTACACAGTGTCCACAGGATGCGGGTCGAGAGTGAAGGGCAGGGGCAGGGCGTTCTTTCCTGGGTGTGGTCAGCAGAGCTCTCTCTGATAAGGTGAGCCAAGACCTGAAGAGCGAGGGGCACTCTGCATGACTGGCCAGGGCAGCCCCGCCCAGGGAGGCCTTGGTGAGCAGGAGAGAGGCCGTCTGGCTGGGCCTAAGGAGTGCTGGGGAGAGTGGCAGGACCTGACCTGGGGCTGAGGTGCGGCAGTCGACGTGTCTGATGTATGTTTTAAGTGGATGCTCTGGCTGCTTTGTGGAATATTCTGGAGGGTGGGTTTGGAGGAGCAGAAGTAGGGGAGGCTCATGCAATGAGCAAGTGAGAGCTGGTGGTGTCTCGATGAGGATGACAGAGAAAACATGGTGAGAAGTGGTTGGGTTTGGCTGTATTTGAAGGCAGAACACAGAATTTTCTGAAGAACGAACTGTGGGTTGTGACAGAAAGGCAGACGGGGGTAAGGTTTTGGGTGGAGCTTCTGGGTATCTGGCAGTGCTGTTTACCAAGACGCAGAACACTAGGGAAGGAACAGGCTCTGGCGAGCGGCATCGGGAGTGGGGCCTCCAGTGCTTCAAGTTAGAGATGCCTGTCAAACGTCCAGGTAGAAATGTCGCACAAGCGATTGGTTGTACAAGTTCACGAGAGAGGAAATAAATACTAAGGCACCTTTAGTTATCGCTACTGTGTAGATGAAGCTACGGGAGGGAGGATCCCCCAGGGCATAGCTTTCACAGGGGGTTGTGTCTCGGTGGGTCACGAAGTCAGTACAGTGGGCACCGCCATTTTCAAAAAATGAAATAGAATTGAAAACAGTATCTCAGTAGTAAGGGTTGTTGTAAAATGTTTACTTTTATGTCGACTGATGGGGGAATTTTGTCCTATGAAACGTTTTTAAAATTAAATTTATGTAAAAAG